CAGGCTTACGTGACCAAGGTGCCCAATTTCTGTTTCTCTGGAACAAAAACTTTTCTAAAAAAAAAAACAAAAAAAAAATCTTTAAATATATCTTAAATATATCTCCTAAACCTTGCGGCTCTACCCAGTGGGCACGGAAGTAAAAAAGACGTCTTTTAAACGTTTAAAATACGTCCAAAACGTTCAAAAGACGTTCAGAAAACGTCTAAAACGTGTATAAGACGTTTAAAAGACGTCCTTTTTTACTTCCGTGCCCACTGGGTAGGTTCAGTTGCTTGTGGGACCGTAAGTTTTGCTTATACTGGCATTGCGGTAGCTAGGCCACTGATGCTACATGCAGATAAAGATATTTACGTGAAAAGTTCTAAATTTTTTATGTTTTTTAGTCCTTACGGTCTTCGCACAGAGCACCGCTGATGAGCATTTAATTGAAAGTTCACGCCTTCTTCCTAACCGATGTCGCAAAGCGTCCTCTGAAAATGTTCGGGGCTCCTTATTCTTCAAGGCATGGTGTTATAGTCCCGATAATTCAGGACAAGTTTAAACTTGCTCTCCTTAGTTTTTAAATAATAAATACATTTACGCAAAAGCTTGTAAAAAAGACTAGTAATTATGCCAATTAATTTTCTTTCAAATAAACTACCCTTTCTGAGTCTCCCATAGGTATATGCGCCTTCTGCTAACATCTTTTTTTCAGCTTTGTCTAGACCTTTCGAACGGTTGGCCAGAGAGTGAACATTGTTGAGACGGTTTTCTTTAGAGAATGTTTATTATAGCTAAAACTATAATGACCGGAACTAGAGAGTTTTAATCATGGGCGGAACTCTATTATTGATTTTTTCAAACTTTACATGAAAGAAATATTTAAAACCGCGCAAATCGAATGTTAGGGAAAACTAAATGTCTTATGCCTTATTCCTTAAAATTTAACTTTTTTGCATTACTTTTGTACAAAATCCTGTCAAAGTTATTGTAAAATATAAGTAAATTTATTTACTTGCTTTATATAAATTACTTTTAATTTACTTTACAAATTATATAAAATGTAAGTTTATGTAATTTAAACTTTATTTTATGTAACTTATTCTTAATAAAGATTTGTTTTTACTTTTAATATAGAAAATTCCTACTTAAAAAATATTATTTTTTTTGTAAATTTAATTTACATTTGCTAGCATATTACTTTTACGTAATTTACTTTTATATGTAAGTTACTTTTTAATATAATTTTTTTTAATTAGTTACTTTTAAAGGTAAATGTAAATTACAGTTTGAGTAACTTTTATATTATGTAAAGTAATTTTCAAAAGTAATTAACTTTTAAATGTAAAAGTAAACAGCTTTTTCACGTGACTTACTTTTACATGTAAAAGTAAATTACTTTTTGATCTAATCTTTTTTTACATAAGTAAAAGTCGTTTCAAAAAAATTAATTACTTATACGGAAATGTAAATTTGTAAAATTACTTACGTAATTTACTTTTTGATAAAGATTGTTTTACTCGTATAAGTAAAAAAAAAAGTAAGCAAAAGAGCCATCCCTTACATTTAAACCACCAATGGTGGTTTATAAAGTGCAGAACTGCTATGTCGAATCGACAACTGGTTTATTGTGTTTAAACAATGTTTATTTCATGTTTATTACCATATCAGGGGTATTATTGATCAAACATGATAAATAATGAATGACCAATGTTACCCCAAAACCTAAGGTAACATTGGTCACTTTTAAACGTTTTAAAAAAAATATTTTTAATAAAAAAATTTAAAATTATACAGAGCCCTATAGCCAAGACCTATAATGTTATTACTAAAAAAATAAGTAAAAAAAAATTCATAAGATTCAGAGATGTTTAAGAAAAACTGCTAAAACTGACCAAAGTTACCCCAGTTGACAGTATGTCATATTGCTCTGTTGCAAATTAACTAAAATAAAAATCTATTTTATATCTATATCTATATTGCTTGTTATTGCTATATCTATATCTCAGTAACTAAAGCTATTAAAAAATTTTCGTTCTCATTAAAAATTTTCGTTTTCGTTAAAATATCTAAATCGTAGATTTAGATATTTTATAATCTTGTGGAAATTCCTGAAGAACCTTTAAAATATCTTCTAACGTAACGTAAGTTAAGTCAAGACCATCTCGAGTTGTTTTTTGGTTCAATACGAGGATTTAAAAATAATCAAATAGCACAACAATTCAATGCAACATATAAACGACTTTTACGTCGGAGTCATATTGAATCAGAATCATGGAGCTGTGAAAAATTACAAGCAGAAAATATTTTAACTGTCTTAGATAATTCAGTACCATAAGTAACAGCAGATATTACATCAGTAAACATAATCAGAAAATCTGAAAAAACATCTGAAGTTACTGATCATGATTATTCTTTTATTACTTTTATTGCATGAACATATGTTTGATACTGGTGTTTATGAAAATCATGTTTTCGAATTAATCAAAATAATTTCCTAATGTTATTTTAAAGTCAAACTTTACAATCTGGGAAAAGAATATATATATATATATATATATATATATATATATATATATATATATATATATATATATATATATATATATATATATATATATTATATATATATATATATATATATATATATATATATATATATATATATATATATATATATATATATATATATATATATATATATATATATATATATATATATATATATATATATATATATATATATAACTCACAATCGATCAAAAGCAACAACGAATTGATGATTCTGAGTTTGGAGCTGTTACATCGAAATAGAACCGATTTTTTTTGTCGATACATAACAATGGATGAAACATGGCTCCAACACCACACTCCGGAGCCCAATCGACAGTCAGCTGAGTGGACTGCACGCGATGAACCGACTCCAAAGCGTGGAAAGACTCAACAATCGGCTGGGAAGGTTATGGCCTCTGTTTTTTGGAATACGCATGGTATAATTTTCATCGATTACCTTGAGAAGGGAAAAACCATTAATAGTGACTATTACATTGCGTTATTGGAGCGTTTGACGGATGAAATTGCAAAAAAACGACCTCATTTGAAGGAGAAAAAAGTTCTGTTTCATCAAGACAACGCACCGTGTCACAAGTCAATGAATACGATGCTTAAATTGAACGAATTGGGCTTCGAATTGCTTCCTCATCCACCGCATTCTCCAGATTTAGCCCCCAGTGACTTTTTCTTGTTCTCAGATCTCAAGAGAATTCTCGCTGGTAAAAAATTTAAGAGCAATGAAGAGGTGATCGCTGAAACTGAAGCCTATTTCAAAGCAAAGGACAAATTGTACTACAAAAATGGTATCGAAAAGTTGGAAGATCGCTATAATCGCTGTATCGCTTCTGATTGAAACTATGTTGAATAATAAAACCGAGTTTTGAAAAAAAAATGTGTTTTTCTATTAAACGATACGAACTTTTCAGCCCAACTGTTATATATATATATATATATATATATATATATATATATATATATATATATATATATATATATATATATATATATATATATATATATATATATATATATATATATATATATATATATATATATATATATATATATATATATATATATATATATATATATATATATATATATATATATATATATATATATATATATATATATATATATATATATATATTCTTTTATTACTAATATTTATATAATAGCAATGGCTAATTAGCCAATGCCGAGGCATCGGCCAATGCCAATTAATCAACCAGTACCATTGGACGAATAATTGGTAAATGGTTGAGCCAATTAATTGGTTGCTGGTTACCAATAGTATAGGCTAGTATGTCGAGTCACTGCTGATGTATAGGTACATGTTGTATGTGTAATTTATATCCTTAATATTATTATAACACCCTTATATGAATACATTAAAACCTATTATTAGACACAATAGGCCTTTGTCATTGGTACATCACTAATAAAAAGGCTATTTCTTATATATCTGGCTTTGTTGTTAAAATAGCAAAAAAGCAAATTTTTTCATGTTATGTTATAATCCGCTTGGTTCTAAAAAACATGGTCCAGAATCCAATTTTCTAAAGTAAAGGACAGTGGTGGTCTTATGAAACCTACAAGAAATGTTATTACTGTTTGTAAAGAAACTAAAAAAAAAATTACAAGAACGCTAGCACTAGTACCTGGATGGAAAACTGCCACAGTCCAAAAATATCCCAGAAGCTATATATATTTCAGTTTTAGAAAGCTTAGGATCTGTTATATTTAGAGATACTGTTGTTTATAAAAATCATGTTTTCAAATTAACCAAAATAATTTCCTAATGTTATTGCAAAGTCAAACTTTACAATCTGGGAAAAGAATATATATATATATATATATATATATATATATATATATATATATATATATATATATATATATATATATATATATATATATATATATATATATATATATATATATATATATATATATATATATATATATATATATATATATATATATATATATATATATATATATATATATATATATATATATATATATATATATATATATATATATATATATATATATATATATATATATATATATATATATATATATATATATATATATATATATATATATATATATTTAGTCTCAAAAGCACAACCTCAAATTTAGTAAGAGCTATACGAAATTGTAAAACTACACCATGTAAGCTAAGTAAGTAACTTGGATTTTATAAAAGATCTTAATAAAGTAAAACTAAATAAAAAAAATTCAAAAAATCTTTGGCAATTTTTAAAAGCATTTCATTTTTTATTAACAGAAACAGAATTTTAAATTTCTAATTTACTAAGTCGCTCATAATGAGCTTGATAACCTTTTAAAAATTAGTTAAAATAATTTTTTTTTTTAATTACAATATACTTTTCTGGTTTCGAAACGTGTCTAATGAACTCAAGTGAATATCACTCTACAAGTGTTTCAATCGAAACTAATTTTTTAACATTTGTGCTACAAATGTGTTAGAAATGCATTAAAATGTGTCTTGTTTATATAAATGTATTTAATTTTACCAACAAGTATAATTAACAACAAGTTGTCATTAAAATTTAGTTGCAATGCATCTAAAGGTATTTTATGTTTATATTTATAATTGAAAAATAATTGAAAGGCTAAATTAGGCTCCATGTATAAGATTAGCATCTTCGTTATTTCAAAGTTGTTGTTTTAAAAATATATGGCTAAATAAAGAGAAAGCTATTTTTTCTTAATAAGAAACAGTAAAGTACAAAAACAACGTGAAAATTGAAAGAATGGGGATAAAGACCATTTGCATAGAAAGTCTGGTACCTAATCAGGACCTCTATTACCTAAAAATACCAATCTTTTTAAAGATATAAAACCACATAACAAAATAAGTTAAACAATTCAAAAAAGGTGTTTTCTTAACATATATTATTTGTAAAATGTTAATAGTCTTTTTGTTGTTGTTTATGCATAAGCAGTTATTATCACATATGATTGAGTAAAAAAAAAAAAAGCATTTAAGTTAATATTTTAGGCAAATCTAAAAACTAATTAATTATTAAAGTTAAGCAAAAGCTATTTTACAATTAAGATTAAAATTATAAAGTTTTCACTTTAAAAACTTTGGAAGATGTCATTTGGGAGATCAATAAGTATTTGCAAACTGAAAGTTTTTTTTTACAAAATTCGGTATTTTTACAAGATTCGGTAACTATAAAGAGTAGCTCTAAAAGCGGACCCAGGAAATTATTTGGGTACATCTGATTTTTTGGAAAAATCTTTAACCCCCTCCCCAGGGCCGTCCCAAAGAATGAGGGGGGTGTCGTAGTGTCCCTCACCCCCTTCCCTTAAAGATATCTTACAAGTTTTGAACTATAGTTGGCATATTGGAAATATTGAGAACTTTTTTTTTTTTGATGTCTCTAGTCGTTAGTTGAAAAGCAAAAAAATACATGGAAGACCATCTTCAGTTAATCTATCAAGATTAACCGAGGTCTATTATTAAAAGAGGTCTATAAGTTAATCTAATAAGAGCCTTTCTTCAATTAAAAATATGCAAGGTTATCACCGGGGCACTTTACTTTTAGATTATAAAATTATATATTTACACATTATTTACAGATCTATTATTAAAAACTATATTTTTACATTACCATTAATAAAATAAATTACACAATGCAAAATTTTATATTTCTATTTTAACAAATGTATTATAAAATAGCACAAATTATAATAAAATATTATATTTTAAATATGCAATTTTAAATTATAAAAAGAGGCATTTAGAGATGCATTCTTAATGCCACATTTTGTTAAAAAAAAAAAAAAATTTAAAACATTCATCTTAATAAATCTTGCTGATTAAAACATAAAAACTGAAAAAAATCAATTAAAAAACAAAAGCATTTGCCAATTATAACAAATACAACTTTTATATATAAAAATGATAACACTAAATTGGTGATATTGTTTGGCACTATACCAGGGTGCTTAACATATATATTTCAGGCGCCAAAATGAATAATATATCCACTCACATTCACATGAAGTTAGTGGAAAAGTAGCATGTAAACTTTCAATGTTTTTACAACCAGGAAAATTTATCACTTTTAACAGCTCAGTAACATTAATATTGAAACTACCTTTTTAAATTTAACTAAAATGCTTCACATAAATGAAGCTCACAAAATTAAAGCATGGGAATTCAGTTGATCTGTTCATAAAATTCACTAAAAGATATAATTGAACTTCTGAAATCATTTTTGTAGGAACTAGTACTATGTTCTTAAAAACTATCCAAAAAAAAAGTAAACCTTTTCCACCCAACATGTTCAATATGGAACGGTACTTTCAATATGCTCCTCTAAACTTTGTTGCCTGATATGTACAAGTTTAAAAAGTGATACCTCATTAAAGTGTGCCAAAAACGATACTTGTCATATTGCAAAACATAACATAGTGCTAAAAAGATACTTGACATATTGCACTTTGTATGAGGCACCAATAACTAAATTAAGTCTATGACTATTGCAATGAGCATATGCAGCTTTTTCATTTAGATTTAAAATACAAGAGGACAAATCTTTAGTGTGACCATCAATCCTCACCCAAACTCCATTGTTCAGTTATATAAAACTTTAGCTGTTCCAACACTAACATATGGTCTTGAGCTGTGTGATCATAAAAAAATGTTAATGCAAAAGTTTGATATAGTTGGAAGAAATGCACTTAAGTCACTCCTCGATGTTTCAAAACATAGCAAAAATTATATTCATACCTTCTTTTTTTTATTGAAGATATATCAATTATTATACAACAAAACAAGCTAAACTTATTTATTCGTTTGGTGAACAATAAAATGACATATGATATTATTAGGTCGCAGCTGAAAAACAAAACAGCCTTACAACATTTTTTAGATAGTATCAAAGGGTTGTGCAATAATCATGAACTAAATCTGGAGACAATAATGGAAAGTAAAAAAAAAAAAAATTGTCGGCCTCAAAAATTTAATTGCTGAAACGGATCTTCAATCTCTAAAATGTGCAGTTGAGTAGTGGAACTTAAAAGAGCAGAGAACTATCTTCAAGGACATTCTTGAAAAACATATTCCAAGATGATCACGTTGAAACAAAACAAAAAAAAAAAAAATTTTCAAGATTTTTTATATTTATCTTGTATGAAACTCTTAATTTACCTTACTTGTATAGTGGGTGTTTAATAAATCTAAAATAAATTGCTCTACCACCACCATATCACAATTCATGATATATAAAAAGGAATCCGAAATATTTTTTATCAAAAAATAAAATATTCCGTACTAGTAACACCATTTGTGCAATCTAAAAAACTGATAAATTCTCTTATTGAACTTCGAACCAACAAACCATATAATTAAAAGTAGTTGTTCTCTACTTTAATTGTCAGAAGCTTTATCAGAAAAGTCTTTAAAATTTTTCAAACTATTTTGTTATTAACTTCTCTGAAACACTTTTTTTACCAGATATTATGGTGTTTTAGATATGTAAGAAGCGTTTTTTGTTGAAAATATCTAAGCTAATCTTGAAGAATTTTATCACCAGCATAAACACAAACATGTTGCAAACACGATTTATTAAGAAAACTTCGTATATCTACAGAGTCGAGACATTTTAAATATCACAATAAACTTTAAACATTTAACTTTAAACATTCAAGGTGAAAAAGGGAAGGTACGTCCGACAGTGTTTTTTCATAAATAAAATCGATTATTTAAAATTCAAATATTGAAAACTAAACTAAATAAAAAGTTTAATCACAGAAAAAAATAATGTTAGGTACGTCTATTGTTTTATTTTGATATGCAGTAGCTATTAAAATATATTTCACCTCCTGATTATCGCTAAACAATAGATTTTAACTAAAATTTTACCTAGGGTGTAATGCTTTTTTTTTATTTTTATTATTATTATTATTATAATTATTATTTTTTCTTTTTTTAATTTTTTTTTATTTTATTTATTATTATTATTATTTTTTTTTTTTATTATTATTATTTTTTTTTTTTTTTTTTTTTTTTTTTGCTTTCGTTTACGTTTATGACAAATGTACCTAAAAAGTCAATATTTGTAGCTGCTAAAGCACGAATTAATTAAATTAAACGTGCAGCTCATCTTCAGTAAAAGATGCACTGTTTGCAGCTGTAGGAAAAAAATACTTGTCAATTCTACTTTTAAATGCGTTAATTGACGGAGCCTTTTTGCATGACAACGGTAAATAATTCCAATCGTTCACAATACGATTTGTGAAGAAATTATGTCAAGCGTTATTGTAAGAAGAGGTGGATTATGCCAATTAATAATTTCAAAACCGTTTCCAAATTTAAACTGTTGGATCAAGGCGCCGCGTCGCCTGCGAGTCTCCAAAGAAAGTAAAATTGAGACGCCGACACTTTTCAGCATAAGGTAAACTTGTTATATCATGAGAAATTTTTGTTGCTTTGTGCTGAATTTTTTCAATTTCTTTGATGTCGCCCTTTAAGTAAGGACACCATACCGGAACAGCAAATTCCAGGTGCGGCCTAACATATGTAGTATATAGTTTACCCCAAAGCTTAATATCTCTTGATCTAAATGTTTTTTTTAGTAGGCCAAGTATAATATTTGCTCTACGTGTCGCAACCTGTATGTGTTGACTCCATTTTAGATCGTTAGATAAAAAGATACCCAGGTCTCTTTCAATATCCGTTGCCGCTATAATAAGAGATGTATTACCATCATTCATTACATATTCATGATTTATATTTCCATGACCAAAGTGCATAACTTTACACTTTGCAACATTTAATTCCATAAGCCATTCTTTTGACCACTCTGAGATAATGTTTAAATCATTTTGAAGAACCAGACAATCAGCATCGTGAAACTCAGGTCTTGTTTCTTGCAACAGTTTAGTGTCATCAGCATAAATTTTATGAACTGATTTTAAATTATCCGTTAAGCCGTTTATGTAGATGATGAGTAATGTTGGACCAAGTACAGACCCTTGTGAAACTCCGCTTAAAACAACGGTCCAGTCGCTAGAGTGATTACCTAAAACTGTTCGTTGTTTTCTGCTAGTCAAAAATGACTCAATCCAATTGCCAACATTACCATTGATCCCATATGTTTTCAATTTGTGTATTAGTCTACTATGAGAAACTTTATCAAACGCTTTTGCAAAGTCCAAAAATGCAATATCGACAAAATTTCTTTTGCTTAACGCTTTTGTAATGTAGTCGATATTTTCCAATAAGTTAAACGTGCATCCCTTTTTGGACATAAATCCATGTTGATTATTTGAGATGCAGCTCGTTTTTTCAAGATATTTAATTATCTGTTCCTTGATAATCTTTTCCATTACTTTACATGGAACTGAAGTGATAGACACTGGTCTGTAATTAGCGGCATCAAGACGACTCCCTTTTTTAAAAAATGGTGTAACATGTGACTGCTTCCAGGCTAAAGATGTTGAGCCTTCAGACAGTGCTTTATTGTAAATTAATGTTAGAGGGTAAGTCATTTGAGCTGCACATTCTTTAAGTACCTTTGGACTAATGTTATCAACACCAATAGATTTGTTCGGGTTCAAACCATTCAAATAGGCTAGCGTTGCTTCAAAACTTATTATTACATCGCCTAAGTCTTCTTGATTATGTCTTCTCTCAAAAACCGGTAACTGATCATTTATGCTATCATCAACAAAAACTGATTTAAAGTGTTCGTTAAGTCTGTTTGCGATATGTATTGCCTCTGTTAACGATTCACCTTTTGCATCTGATATAGCGCCAATAGATACAAGAACGTTCTGTTGCGCTTTAGCATAAGCATACATTCTTTTTGGATTATTTTTATCTGATGACAGTTGGGCTTCAAATACTCGAACACGATGTGTACATACTTTCTGAACTTGGCTTCTTAGTTTCTTATATTCACAAATGAGGGTCGTTGATCGCCAGTTTGTCATAGATAAGTAATTGCCCAGTTGTTGTTTTTTCTTTATCATAGCTAATACTTCATTATTTATCCACGGTGCAGTACGAGTAGTTAATAAAACTTAAATTTAATTCACTTAACCGTTAAACTAAAAAAAATTATTTTTATACGCAATATTGAAATAATTAAAAAAATTTTTTTTTTTTTAGATTTTTTTTTTTTGGGTACGTTTACAGACGTACTAGACGTACCCTAGATCCGCCCCTGCTCTTTGTGCTTTTTTTTTAGTTCAAAAGTTTTTTTTAACCAAAAAATACTTTTTACTTTTGTACACTTTTCCATACTACTATTATCAAGCAATGAAAAATTATTAATTTTTGATTTTCTTTATATATTTTTTGTTGCTTTTTTAGTTAAATGAATTTTTATAAAAATTATTAGATGTTTGATTAACTATTAATCAGCTGTAATAAGTAAAAAATAAATAAAGGCCTAAGAATGGCACTTTGTGATAAACGTTAATGATTGAATATCAAGCTATATTTTGTCAAATATTAGATATTAATGTCTGTTAAAAAAAAATAACTATTTTATTTTTGTTTTTGGTTGGGCTGCATTATCTTTTTTAATTCCGTATAACAACGGCACATCAGAACTAGAGGTATTCCGGATAAGCTATCCGGCCGGATATCCGGGTCGGATATCAATATTATTCGATATCCTTTATCTGGCCGGATAATAACATTATCCGGTTTTCGATAAACCGGATATTTCTTGTTAAAATTTAAAGATTTAATAAACCAAGAAATGTTATATTTTTAAATATTCTAATGTTAATGGTTTCTATTCAAAATTGTTATTATTATTAATAATAATTTATTAATCAAATACTATTAAACTTAAACGCAACAAACACATCAGTTAATCACTCATTTACAAATTCATTTCCATTATGATGAATAAATAGTAACATTTCTCCACGTTGAGGTAACAACCTCGATCTCCGAAAATACAGAGGATGCTGGAGGTGCTAATAATTTAAGATCTAACTCTTTTAGAAGTGGAAACTTCTCTTCATGTTTCCAGTAATTAAAAATGTCTTCTTTTTTTTCTATAATCGAGTGATTAAAGAAAAAATCAACTTCTTGAGCAGCTTTTACAAGCGAGACTTGATCAGGATTTGTTTCACTATTTTGTTCTGTAATATAAAACAATTTAAATACTAAAGATTATTTATTTATACATTTTTATTCAATAAAATGTATATAGTACTTAAATCAGCAAACCAACAACATGCAGAATATAGCTAATATTAAAAATAAAAACTTAATTAAAAGTTTTTTTGTTTATCAAAAAAGTTTTTAAAATTATTAAAAAACTTTTTTAATAAACAGAAAGAGATCTTCTTACCTAAATTTCCTTCATACTCTGCAAGTTCTAAGAAGCAGGAGTTAAAGTCATTCTCTTTCAAATCAACTTTTTTTTTTTTGGAATTTGGCGTTAAATGATTGGAGATGGTGGCGGTGGAGCTGGTAGCTCTATTAATAACAACTGGTGAAAGTCCAGTTATATTTCTTTGATTTTTTACTACAGCATCTAATACCATTGATTTTGCTTGTGCTCTCTTATCAACAGGAAGAAATTTGAGCTTGTAGCGAGGATCAATAATGGTGGGTAAAACATATCTTTCATCATCTGTTATATTGAGATTATCATGAGAAAAGAATCTCTTATTTAAAGATTCTATAAGTTGTTTTGTTATTTGAACTGTATCATCTTTTTGATCAATTTTTGATAAAAATCTTTGTAAAGTACATATATTCGGAACTAATGTTGATAAACTACAAAGTTCAGAACTCATAGAATTAGTAAGTTCATAAAAAGGCTTTAAAACATATAATAAATTTTCAATGAATTTCCAATCATTTGATGCAAATGTTGGCAATTCATTATGATCAGCTAAATACATTTGAACTGCTCTTTTAAGTTTTTGAAGTCGCTCTAACATTAAGTACGCCCTATTCCAGCGAGTAGGCACATCTTGAACCAAAAGTAGAGGTGTGTTTTCATTTTGTTGTTGTTGCAGTAACTTAAATTCTGTACATGCCTTTGATGAATGATTAAAGTGGCCTACTATTCGACGTGCTTTAGCTAATAAATCTATCACTAATATTTGGGATAAAACTGCATCCTTTATCACGAGTTGCAATAAGTGGATTGTGAAATGGACTGATGATATTTGAATAAGTTTACTGCCTAGTGACATATTAGCAGCACCATCTTTGACTAAAATATGTCTTCTTGGTGCATTAATTTCCCAGCTTTCTAACATATTTATAAATTTTCCAGCTATGTTTATCCCTGTGTGAGCTTTTGGAAAATGTGAAGCATAGAGTACAGCATGTTTGTGCTCAAAATTTTTTTTAATCCAATGTCTTGATAAGGAAATTAATGTTTCATGAGATGTCGGACAAGTCCAAATATCTGAAGTAAAACTTATGAACTGTGACTTAGCAATTTCATTAAAAACCTTTTTTTTAATTTGATCATACAATAGAGGAATTGCTGTCTCCGAAAAATAATGCCTACTTGGGATTAGGTATCTTGGTTGTAAAAAAGCCATTAAACCAATAAATCCATCATTATCTAAAGCAATCATAATAGCAATTTTTCAATGAATTTGCTTAGACTTTTCATCATTAATATCCCATATCTTCTTTGATGTAAAACTATCTTCAACAGACATCTGTTTTTGCATTTCGCACTTCTTCTTTAAAATCAATGAACTACATTTTGAACTTCCTTGAGCAGCTGAATAACATTCCATTTTATAATTTTTTTCCTCTTCGTACAATTTGCAATGAAATTTTTTTGCATAATTATGCAGCGGAGTTGTAGAAAATGACTGCTGACCAGATTTACTACACCCCCTGCTTATCTGCTTTCCACATGGAATGCAAATAGCAATGGAATCACAGCTATCACTAATTTTAAAAAGTTTCCATACAAAACTCGCCATTTTGAAAGGTTATTACAGTAACTTTTGTCTTAATTTAATATTTATCTAAAAGTTAAATAACATTATCCGATATCGGATAATTTTTAAATATCCGAGTATTCGATATCCGGTCGGATAACACTCATAACCTTTTTGAACTATGTTTATTTTAGAGGTTCCTTGATAAAATTGACACTATTGGGCTACGTAATTAGATTTATGTAACGTCTTAAGTGAGCAGGATTAATTTTTTTTTCAGAAAAACAATAGATTTTAAAATAGATAAACTTTGGTCTCCCTGCTGAATTCTGAATATTGAATTTTGAATTGCTGAATTAAGCATCTTATGTATTCATAATATTTTTAAAAAGATGCAAACCACAATGATATCTAAAATTTGTATTCTTTTTGTAAGTACTTCGGACCATATCCTGTTAAGTAAAATGCGAAGGTTGCAACAAGACAGAGAAACATCATCATTTTCAGACTATCTAATAGGCTGGTGTAAATGTAAATCTGTTTTACATTCTTTCCAACAGAAAAAAGTGAATCTTCTTGACCTTGCTCATGGTTTGCTGCTTAGAAGGCCGGTTTCCCAGACTTTACAAAATTCACTTGATTTTTAAAGAGATTTTAAAATATTATAATTTGAACCTTGCGAATTGTTAAAATCTGAACCTTGCATGAACTTTTGCTGTAAAAAAAAAAAATTATATGTATAAATAACATGAACATAAAATAATAAAAAAATACAATAGAGTCTAATAAAGAAACTACAATTTTTTCTTGTTATTTCATAAGTTAAAAACTATATTTCTTTTTTTTCCCATTACTTTTGGTAGGGTTGAAGCAAATGTGTTTTGTGATTTAAGAGTCCTATTGCATTATATTTTTACTATACTGCACAGATTTTCTTATATAAATAAATGTCTTTTTTTTTATTACTTTTTGAAATCTTTAAATTTGTTTGCGGAAAATAATTTAATTCGAATATTCAAATTAAGTGAAACATTAACTTTATAGTGCGACAATGAAAAAATACCTGTAGAATGAGAACCAATACATATAATTTGACAAAAATTAGTGCAAATGTAGCATATGGCCATACGCAACTCTGTATAAAGTTTCAGTTGGGTTGATTAACTAGTTAAAGATTTATAGCAGTTTTAGTTTATATTTTGTTAGTTTTTTGCTACTTAAACCTACTAGCTCACCGCCTCAAAAACGGCAAAGACTCTTAAGTTAAGAGACAAATTTTAGTTGCAGTATCAGAAAATTTACCAGAAACTCACTTCAATATTGAACAAATCTGGTCACTGATTTATGCAAATTTAGTTAAACTAGTTTTGGCTTGCATTATAAAAAATGCAAATATAATTTGTGGTCTTTAAACTTATTCGAGTATGCACCATTGTGCATGGTATGACGTCAAGCCCAAGAGTCTTGCCTAATCGGGAAATTTGCAAATACTAGCCTCAATCAAATCTAACTTCAAGTCTTTTCAGCAATCTGGCGGGGTTGTTGCTTGTACAAAGTTATTTTACAATGTTATTTGAAAGCCAATTGTCAGTTGGCCTGACAATACTCTGATTTTGGAAATAATCCCATCGGTGGAATTTCCTTAAAGGAGTTGTCAATCATTTTTTCAAGATACTTAAAACTGCTTGGGTAGTAGCTGTTAAATATCCAGCTGCCCTCTAAGTTCAACTGAGTCTGTATCATAAGGGCAGGTGTTCGAAAAATGAATGCAGGAAGTTTCCTAAGTGCTCCAGCAAATTGCTTATACAAACTCGGTTTCCAATATTCTTCACGTAATTAAAGCATTCAAAAGTTTCAATTTAGTTTTAAAAGCTTGGATTTTTTTTTGAATTTATCCTTCAGCCGGATTTTGTAGAAGTAATTGAAAATTTCAAAAGATTTTACTTAATGATGACGTGCCATCGTAAGACCCAAAATCCACATCGTCTTATATCATATCAAAGATTTCAAAGTATTCTTGGGTTAGCTAGGTGGGCATGATCAGGATGCGTGCTAACCGTGTGAAAACTGTTTAGGAACTTAGGAAGGTAGGAATCTTGGGTAGAAATTTTTTTTTTTATTAAAGCCACTGCTTTATAAAGCAACTTATTTATACTCAGTCGCAAGAGCTCGATAAAAACAAGAGTTTTTTAACTATCTTAAAGTCTTTCATACATTGAACTATGGGTCTTGGTTGAGAAACAGAGATGTAAAGGTATAATAGAAAAATCTATACTATCTACTAGATAGTTTGTTGAACAGTGTGTAGACTTCATTTAAAGTTTAAACCTACATGAAATAATGATAGATTTAAACGTGTAGAAGAGTTTAAATAACATCGAGAGCGAATTTTCAGTTAATATAAATGGAAGAAGAGTTTAATTTAACAATAATTTTAACATACTGCTCTAGAGCAGTAAGAAGAATTTATGGATTATATACTCTATATAAAATAAGGTTGTAAACATATAAAATTATTTTAGCTGTTTTAAACTTTATTTATATACTTTAAAACTAATTTTTTTTGTAACAGACATCCAAAATGAGTAAAGCCAACTTTCCTTATTGCCTCATTTATGAAACTAATCGTTTTTTTCCAATTTTTTGAACGCTTTTTTCTATTTATATAGAACAAATACTATTTAACTCATTTTTCTTTGCAATATGCATCTGTTTATGCAAATGTTAAATGGGCTGAGACTTCCTCAATCATACATTTTTACTTCATTAATAACTTTTAGCACTTTGTTCGGATCCTAAAAAAGCTTTTTTCTGATTTGTATAAATAAAAAGGCGCAATATATATATATATATATATATATATATATATATATATATATATATATATATATATATATATATATATATATATATATATATATATATATATATATATATATATATAAAAATATATGAATTTACGTTTTATACATTAAGATAACTGCGCTGATCCAGCTCGTTGGAATATATTTCATGCTAGGAAGATGTACAACAAGGCATTATTCAAAACACACAAAGCTACAAAATGCAGTTAACAGAGGTACAAGTTTTCTTGCAATTAAAAAAATAAAAATAATGCACAACATAAATATATTACACGATTCGCAAACTACAAATCATAAATCTTTACAGAGTAGTTCAGGAGAATATATATATATATATATATATATATATATATATATATATATATATATATATATATATATATATATATATATATATATATATATATATATATATATATATATATATATATATATATATATATATATATATATATATTATATATATATATATATATATATATATATATATATATATATATATTACAGGGTTTTGCAAAGTTGTAAGTTCATGTTTGCAAAGTTATAAGTGCACGGTTGCACAGTTATAAGTGCGCGCTTGCAAAGTTATAAGTGCATATACATTTTTTTGGAAATTATTTTTTTAGCTTTAATAATATTGCGCAAAAAATTAAATTAAATTACAGCATAGCAATCAATAAGTGTTTTTTTTATTGTTTTTTTTTCTAAAAAGTGATTAGTGAAAATTCTTTACAGTTTTACTTAATTTAGTATATTGTTATATATCAATAACTTTTCTAGATTAAACACTTTCATAATTTTTGAAAAATAGTATACATTATTTAATCATAATATTTTAAAAAGGCATGCAAAAATATACATTATTAAAAAAATAAACAAATCATTTTAAATATTTTAATTAGATAAATTCTTCTCTTCTTATTGCCTTTTCCAACCGTCTTCTCATATTTATATAAAAGGCATTGCACTGTTGACTATAATTATTATCAGGTGATAAAATATATTCTAGAGTTTCTTTAACAGTCATATCGGGATTAGCATTTCTCGTGGATTTGAAATTGGATTTTAACATTGAAAAGAACTCTTCGATTGGGTTTAATTCAGGGGAGTATGGTACTAAAAACCTGTGAGTAATATTTTCTTCTCTTAGTAATTGAAGTACTGCAGCTGCT